TTTATTGGGGAACAAGAGATTCAGGGGAGAATTCCATCCAATGAAGGTTGAGGGGGGGCCGCACTCCAAGGTCAGGGTCAGTGATTGGGCCCCCGGGGTCAGTGGTCAGGCACACCCCCACACGGACGGGTTCGCTCATCAGGAGAGGGCCGGGAAAGCTCCCACACAGCCAGAGCGCCTCAGACCCAAACCGGGAGTTGCTCAGTCTCGGGTGAGGATGGCTCCCCACAAGCTGGAGCTGCAGACGGCTTCAGTCCCTCTCTCCTTCCTTAAAAGCGTTACATAGATGGCGGGTTCAGTGACAACCTACCCCTTGCGGATGTCAAGACCACCATCACTGTGTGCCCCTTCTACGGGGAGTTTGACATCTGCCCTAAAATCAAGTCTACAAACTTCCTTCACGTGAACGTCACCAACTTCAGCTTCCGCCTCTGCCTGAGGAACTTCCACCTCCTGTCCAGATCGCTTTTCTTCCCCCCGGGCTGCAAGGTGAGTGGTGCTCGGAGGCCGGTCTTCTCTATATGGGGCGGCCAGCACCCTGGCAGAGCGAGAGTGTGAAATAATCAGTAAGAAATAAGGCAAAGCCAAAGACTGGATTTAAAAGTGGGCTCCTGATGGTCTTTCAGCCCTGATGGGAACTGGAATTGAGCAGATTTAAAAGGCCCAATTCTTTATCTAAGGGGAAGTACATCAAAGTCAGGGGTAAGGTTTCAGTGTGGGAGGGGTCTTGCTTAGGTGCCTGTTTCTCAGTGTGGCAGGGGCTCTTTGACCTCAGGTTGTGARCTCAGATGGCACCAGCGTGATCTGGGCTCTCCTGAATGGGGGAGGTTTCACCAGGCGTTCCCAGAGAAGCAGCTTCTGTCTTCACGGCTTGAACAAACCCATAGTTCGTTCCTGTGTGGCCTACGACATCTTTCCCCTTCTTTTTAAATTCAAACGAGGGTCAGTTACTTGGGGTTCTTGGATCTTGGACCTGAGGATCCGGCACCCTATTATCACGACACAAAAAAGAATTAGTAGCACACGTTATCCCAACAGTAAACCAGGTAGAGTGTTTAACATATTTCCAGGGTTAAAGCCGTTTAATTTATAAAGCCTTGTTCAGCTAGAAACGCAGGGTCTGTGAGCCTGATCTTGCTTTTCTGCATACCCTGGGTGTGACCATGTGACTCCGTAGGTTCAAGCTATTATCATGGCTATGCCAAATGCCCCTCAGATGACTTTTAACCTTTCCCCAATCCCATTGGGAAGTGTGGTATCTGGCTGTAGTAACACAGACACACTTAGAGTCAGCCTGGCATTTAAGATTTTGTTCAAATTTGAGGGTAGAAAGCTGCTTACTGATATTTATGACAGTAGCTTTCAAAACACTGAATTTAGTCTCGATCTTTTCATCAATATTCACCTCACTGTATGGGCTTTGGAATTATTTTGAGCCAAATTATTAAGAAAACGAGCTTTAGTTGGATTACATTTCTTAAAGTTACATGACATTTATCACCCTTTCTCCCTATTCTTACATCTCAGTAATTAAAGCATAAGGAGATTGAGCACAGGCGTGCTGGCCGGAGCAGGGACCCTCCCTGTGCTTCCTGTCCGTAAGGTTAGGGGAGCTGCTTCTCTGCTTCAGTGGCTCAACAGACCCATGGTTTATACACGGCCTCCACACGTCTCTGCCTCCCTGATGGGATGGTCCCTCTCTCAAGCAAACAAGAACAGCTCCAGGAAAAGATGCTTGTCTCACGAGTTTGGTGATGGCCACCCTGACCATGGGCATCGCCAGGTCACATGGACATCCACATGGACAGGGCCGAGTGCTCCAAGTAGTGGGGGCTGTGGCTCAGGCATTAGGATTTCTTTTCCTTCTTTTTGCAGCGCTGGGTGGAACCCAGGGCCTGGCCGACATGCAGCCCGGGATTTTTTTACTTTTTTTTACCACCCTGGTTCTGACTGAGTCCCCCAGGTGAGCAGGTGTGCCCTCTCCTGGTGGAGGTCTTAGGATCCTTGCACATTCACAGAGTAAGGAAGGGTGTAGGGTGTGTGCACCGACAGTGGTGTCCCCAGAAGGAGCCACTGGTACCTCCTGTGCTCACCAGCACTCACCYGCACCCGGGCTCCACAGGCAGGAGGCTGTGCAGCTCGATGGACTCTCATGTCCTGCTGTCCCAGCGACAGCTAGGACGGGCCCTGAAATTTGTTGGTGGAGGCTTGTCCTACAGCCAGCAGAGCCCAGAGACACAGCACCTGACAGCGAGGTCTCTGTGGAGAGGTGACATTCAGGCCAAGGCAGCAGGAAGGGCTCTCTTGGGAGCACCCAGCCCTGTATCTGGGCACAGGCTAAGCAGCTCAGCCTGGAGGGTTCTGGGGAGATGTCGGTTTGGCTTTGAGATGATGTTTGAATAAGCGGTGCTCAGCGCCCCCCACACTTGCTGGCTTCCTTGCAGATGATGAGAGAGATGTGCCTTCGGGGGTATTTGGACGCCTGCAGGTTCTTGGAAGAGAATGGTACGTGTGGGCTTGGTGGCCATCTCAGCCTGTGGGTAGCAGGATGTTCACATGGTGATGGGATTGCCTGATGTCATGATGCCCAGAATGTGTCCTTGTTGTTAAGGCGCACGCGTCTGTATCAGGGTGGAACCGTTATTACACAGTTCAGAACTGTTTGTCTTTAATGCTAAGAGTGAGTTGAGGGTTGAGGCTTTGGATCATCCTTCAGCTGAGGCCAAGGAGACAATATGAGGACCTCGGTGTATTTCTCTACGCAGAAGGTCAGTGCTGGGCTATGTGCTAGGGACACTGCTGTGAGCACATGTGGCCTCTGCTGGGCTCAGGGAGAAGTGAGCAGATGGCCATGTGCTGTTGGGAGCCCTGCGCCAGGGTCAGGCAGGAGGGATCCGCAAGGAGGACTGCCAGAGGATGTGGCCCCCTGAGACCTCCTCTGAACAGGAGAGCTGGGTCTCAGAGGCTGCAGTGGGCCTGAGGCCTGCAGGCTGGGCTGCCAGGGCAGGCGAGGGAGAAGGACCTGGGAATGACCGACGGGAGAGTCGGGAAGGGGCAGATCCAGGATGAAGTCCTGGCTCAGCTTCCACTCTGGGGCAGGGGAGATGGGGTCTGCTTGCTGCTCGGGGCCCTTGGGAGGGCCCGGTTTGGCTGGAAGCCGGGAGCGTGTTCTAGAGCCCCAATTCCTTGGTGCAGACTTCAGAGTGGGGCGTGGGCGTCATAGACGTGTCCCTGTGCGCATACCTTGGGCCTTCTGACCTGACCGGGAGCCCAGAGAYACTGCCACTGCCTGTGACCTGCCCAGCCCAGCAGTTTAGTCCTCTAAGGGCAGAGGCCACTCGTTGGGGTYAGTGGCCAAGTCCTGGCCCAGGGAAGGGCATGCACAGGGGCATGATACGACCTTGCCTCCTGCTGACTTTCCAAGCCAACCCTGGCTCTGCCATGCATTAGCTGTGTGACTTTGGACAAATCTCTTGAGCTCTCTGCTTCTGATTCCTTGGCAGGAAGATGGAGTCAGGAAAGCGGTGGGCTGCCCTGGAGCCTGACGGGCAGGGTCTAGCTCAAAGCCTGAYGGTGCAGGCTCCACCCATGGGATTGCGATTAGAAATGAGCTATAATCCTTGTCTTTCAACCTTAAGAATCCAGGTGTAAAGCGGGGGTTGGCAAGCCACCAAGGCGGGAGCCAGTCACATCTGTCCACTCGAAAGCTCCTTCCTCCCTGGCACCTAGCTGATCCTGGGCCTTTGGTCCCGGCTGGCCCCCTGGTAGYGCTGTGCTGGGTGGTCCCTGCTGCCCACCTCCTCTCGGGCCTTCTCTGCTCTCCTAGGCATCTATGACCGGCCCCAGCTTTGCCCAAGTTTGTCCTCAGAAGAGGAGGAGCCAGAGGCCATCTTGCCCTGCTGGGAGGACCAGAGGCAGCASCTGTCCGTGACCCTGGGGCTGGCGGAGGGGGAGGAGCTGATGGAGCGCCTCAGCACCCTGCCTTGGGACGAGCACATCCTGGACACCTTGTCGCCCAGGCTGGCCGCAGGTGGGGGTTCGTCTGGGGGCGGTCGGAAGGTGAACCCCAGAGAGCAAAAGTGCTTCTCTCCCATGTTGTGGGGTCCACAGGGCAGAGTGACGGGGACGGGCCGGTGAGTGACACCAGCTGCACGCAGAGTCTCCCTTCCTCCCACGGGGTCATGACCAGGAGGAAGATGGACCCCAGCTGAGCCCAGTCCTGGTTGCTGGGCCCTCGGTCAGCTTCCTCAGTGTCCCCCGGCCCAGCTAGGCTGGTGTTTGTGGAGCCGGGGCCAGGTCCCTGGGACGGGCACAGTCCTTCAGAATGCCTTTCGGGTCCCTGCTCCCTGCCTGCCCYCCACCACCTCCGCAAGGGCTGCCCTCCCCATTGATCTTCCGTGGCTCCCGCTTTGAAGGAGCCACCTGGCAGAGCCCGCCCCACGGCCAGCTCCTGGGCTCCAGGCTGAGGGTACTGCCCACCAAGCTCCGCCTGGGTGAGTGGCCGCCTCTTCTCTTGGTGAAGACAGATCTCTCCTTGTCTCCCCCAGGGCTGGCGGAAGCCACGAGGGACAGGCGTGGCTACCTGAGCAGGCTGTCCAGCCTCCTGCCTGGGCAGGTCATGTCCTACGTCATGCTGCCCGTGGAGCTGGCCGTCGCCCTCCTGCACAGGTGAGCTTCCCGGCTGCCTCGCGTCTCCTGTGAGGGCTCCGCGTGAGGGTTAAATGAGGTGACAGGTGAAAGCCGCGGCCCAGCCCGGCTCACAGCCTGCATGCGGTGCCCAGAGTTGCCCTGCTGTCCCGGGGGCCGGGGCAAGTCACCACCAACTCACGGACCCCGAGACTCCCGCAGCTGGCTGCGGCCTCCGTAGCATCAGGCTCAGCAGCTTGTGACCTCATGGGGAAACTGAGGCCTGGGACGCTGGGTCACATCTGGGGTCTCAGAGCTGGCTGGTGGACCTGGCGGGGCCTAGCGTTGTATCTTGCCCTTAGGCCTATTCATTTATTTAGTGGTGTCAAGAAATGAACCCTCACACATGCTAGGCAAGTGCTGGATCACTGAGCTGTACCCCTGCACCCCTCTCCCTTTAAATCACGTGAAGATACTAGAAAGCAGGGAATCTCATCTTCTGTTTGAGTCATAGTTTGTTAAAGTGGTTCAGAGTCAGCAATTAGATCAGAGCAAGATGTTCCTGGAACTTTTTGATTGGCGCCCTCTGAAACGGGTTAGAGCTGGCAGCAGCTTGGCTGTGTAATCTCACTGAGCTCAAATCCCAGCTGACCCTCTTACCTCAGCTGTGTGACCCTGGAAAACTGAATTTACCTCTCTGTGCTTCCCATCTAGAAAATGGGGATGGTAAGAGATCACCTTGTCCAGAAGGTGGTCAGAAGACTCAATGAGGGACCAAGTGTGAGGTGCTGATCACACAGGAGCATCCAGTTAGTGATGCTCTTGATTCTATTTTTAGATCCAGGTTGAGTATCTCTTACTYAAAATGCTTGGGACTAAATGAACATTTCAGATTTGGGAATTTTTTGATTTTGGAATATTTGCATAGACTTTACCGGTTGAGCATCCCTAATTCAAAAATCAAAAATCCAAATTGCTATTCAGCTGAGCTCAGTGGTATACACCTATATACGCAGCTCCCAACTTAGGGAGACTCAGCGGGTTCAGGTTGGGTGTGTTTCACCTGTGATAATAATGAGAGCAACCATTAGGTAGGGCGGAGGATGGAGCTCAGTGGTAGAGCGCTTACCTAGCATGCATGAGGCCCTGTAAGGAAATAAAATCAGACAAAAGACATCCCAGCCCTTTTACTTATTTATTTTGAGACAGGGTATTGCTAAGTTGCCTAGGATGGCCTTGAACTTGTGACCTCCGGCCTCCACCTTCTGAGTGGCTAGTATTACAGAGGTGGGCTGCCTTGCTGGGCTTGGATTGTCCTCCTACCTCTCCTGGTCTGCAACATTCCGAGGCCATATCTGGGGACACTCACTGTCCCATGCTCAGTCAAAGCCGTCTGTCCCTCCAGCTCTGGGAAATGACCTCTTGCTCCCCAGCAAGCCTTTCTCCTCCATTCCTTTTCCCCCTTCATGTGGCTTCCTGGGTTGGATTCCTGTCTACTGACTCCTTCTCTTTCCCATGTATTTCATCTTTGTCTGTTAGTCTCCKATCTGGAATTTCCTCAGATCTTCTCTTCCAGTCCTGTTCTGTAGTTTTGAGCTCAACAAGCATATTTAGTGTCTAGGCGCTGACTTCTCTGTTTTCTTGAAAGTTCTGTTCTCGATTTTTAAAATGATCTTAAACCTTTACTTAGTGCCGCAGTCTGCCTGCGCACAAAATCACGAGCCACTCAAGCAGGAACAAACTTTATTTTTTGAAACTGCCACCAATGCTCCGTCCGCGCCCGGGAAGACTGCCCATCCACACACGCGGCATTCTCCCAGGTTCTGGAGCAAGTTACTTCCCCGGAATTCCCTCCTACTGCACTTCCCCAACCAATGGGAACTCTCCAGGAGTCCCATAGCAGGCTGAGGTGAACAGCAGGAGTCCAATATCCATATGAATGCAAATCTTAACATAATCCTATCATCTCAATGGCTAGCTGGTTTCACCTTTCAATCAAAAATGCAATGCATCATATTACTTGGCTGTGGCTTTAAGCATCTCCCCCCTTCTATTTAATTAAGCAACAAGCAATGTGGCTAGGGACCGTGCCTCTTAGGTTTGTCCAATTCAACATATGGTTCTTACCCGTCATTGGAAAACTGACCTCTAGGCGTCAGCCTCCTGTCTTAGGTTGATACCACTGCAATTGGATCATACCTGTCACTGACTACAGGTCCAGCATATAGCCATACTTGTGGATAGGCCTATGCACCAGTCGGGGGGTGAGGTGCTTTGCCTCACCTCTGTTGTCCCCCAGATTTGGCCTTGGTGCCAGTGGGGGGGGTGAGGTTGTTTGCCTCACCTCTGTTGGCCCCCAAATTTTAGACCATCACTAGCAGAAGGGAGGAGGATACAGAAATGCCACGACACCAAGTCAATTTACAGCTCCTTAGGAAAAATTGCATCACTGATGACACATCAGCAAAGATACGCCAGCACTACCATAATTCACTGCATCAACAGATAGATCACAGTGCATACAAGTGATACATAGTCCAGGAAAGTTCTGTAAGCAGTTCAAAGCGGAGGAATCTATCAATATGTCCATTTCCTCCCAAAATAAATCGACTCATTGATTGAGCATTACTTGTTGAGTTATTATTCATTGATGTATCAGTTTATACAGTTTGTTGTAATAATTATCGAAGAAGTTGTAGTTTGGTTTCATCTTTGTCTTCACCGGCACTGGGATGAAAATAGGAATTCTGACAATGATGTTAAAAAAAATATGTAGCATTTCAACAGGWATTAAGAAAACAATTTTTAGAACAATTTACATTRTCCTGAACAGAATTATTAAATATAATGAAAAGGAAAGGTGAAAGGAAACAAACAGATCTGTTAACCTGCTTATTTGTACACATATTAAAACAATCTTCAACAGCTG